CATTTTAAAACAGGAGCTCATTAGCTCTAATGAATCTCTAATTGGTAGAATTTGTGGGAGGGATGTTTTTTAAGTACTGGGGCTTTCTCCTGTGTCTTCAAGGTGCCTGGCTATTCTTTTATCCTCTGCAGATTACCTACTACTATGGAATCAGAATTATGTGGTAGAATGCAGCCACATACGCCTAATCTGCCCCAAATGCAAGTGAATGCATTAATAGGGAGTCGTTAAAGAAATCATCAAAAGAGATAAAGGGGCTTTTCAATCTGTAAAATAAATGTTCAAAAATACTTTTGGCTATATTGAGAGTCTTCTAAAGTCAAGTAAAATTATTTTAAAATTAACTTCATAAATGAATCAGCAATTCCTATAGAGTTAATGAGCCTCTGCAACTTGCTTAATAAGTGTCAGGTGAATAAAATGCTCCGAATAAAATATGTTGTGGAAAATATTTTAAATTTCTTTACTGCAGAATTTCTCAGATGCTGATATGCATTGGAAATAATCAACTGACAGAGAACTAGCATTCTGCAGGTTCTTCTCATACTTTTGACCATAGAACTATTTTTTCCATGTGAAATTCCTGGAACCAGTGTTTGGTAGATTGCATTCTCAGATATGGAATTCTAGATAAATCCCCTCTAATTAAAGGGAAAAAAAAGAAAATAGTTTTTTGTATTCATAGCCTTTTGTATGCAAGCAGGCTCCAACCCAGTCCATACCAGCCCATTCCCATGCCCTCAGGCTCAAGGGCATGCTAGTTGTAACAGTTCTCTTCCCAGATGAGGTCGAGATAGAGTCAACTGGGGGAGGCAGAGAGGAACAGATGGAGACCAGTCTCATCTTTATTTCCTAGAAAGCTTGTGCTGAATAACATGACTTAAATCAAGGGAAAATGATTTTCTTAATCTGAAACCCAGAATTAGATTAAGTTCCATTCAGTTACAGGATGTGCTGGACTGGGGTGGGTTTCCCAAATTGTGGAGGGGAGGGAGGCCCTACAGAAGATCCAAACAACATGCTTTCTGGGATCTCCCATGCTCAAGAGAAAGAGAAGAAAGGAAAGAACCATATGCACCCAAGTCCTCCCATTCACCAATTCAGACAGAAAAGTGGAGAGAAGAACCAGGGTTTCCCTCACCTACCTACCTGCCACCAGCTAAGCCCTCCAGACAAGTCTCCTTTGGATGACCCAACCTGAATGGTGTTCAGGTTCACTTGCCAGGCCTGGGACTATTTCTTCTTTCCACCCTTCTTTATAGCTGCTGCTCACTCTCTACCATCATTTCTCCTTTCCTGCTTCTCATCTGCACCCAGTAGAATGGGATCATGATGATATTCTGACTGACTTTTCTCATGTCTTTGTACAGCACAAGCATTATTCTTTTTTCTTAACCCAGAAAAGATACAGTACATATATTCCTCTAAAACACAGATTGGTAAACTACAGCCTTCCACCTGCTTTTGTAAATACGATTGTATTGGATCACAACCACACTTACTAGCTTGCATACTGTCTATGACTATTTTGGCTACAATGATAAAATTGTGAAGTTGTGACAGAGACCACATGGCTTGTGTTTACTATATATATGACCTTTTACTAAAAAAAGAAATTGACCAATCCATAATTCAAACTGTAGAAGAATTTCACTTTAATCCTTTTAATTTCTGATAGACCTTTATTAATATGTATGTGTGGTCTTTGTCATTTACTCCTCTAAATAAAAGCCACATATTAAATGAAAATTGGATAATTATAGTATAACTTTTTGCCTCTTGTAAAGTTATTTCTGGTCTTACAAACTTCTGGAAAAATATCAAGGGAACTGTATTCTTGCTTTGATAAACTAGAAGGAAAGAGAGGTTTATTCTAGTCCAAAGCATTTGCCATTACCATTGGAAAGTGAAGAAAACAGATAATCTGTGGAGACTAGGGGGACAAAAAAGAATGATGAAAACTGGGCTTGTGGGGAGTGTGGGGGCACTGGTATTGGATCAACATTAGATCCTAACTTCAGTTTTAGACCTGTGGCTCTTTTCTTCACACCCTGCTACCTAACTGGGCTTTAGCCCTCATTCAGTAGAACCTTTCACTAGATGAGATAGAGATGGGTTCATTGCTAATCTTACTGCCTTTTACCCAGCAGGCCCTGGGCAGGTCACTAAGTGCCTTTGCTTTTTAGGGTTCATTCACCTGTTAATCAGAGGGGCCAGGGAGACTTTACTGTGTCTGAATAACAGTAATCAAATGTGATGTTTTAAGAAAGGCTTTATGAAAGGTAAAGTACTGTGAAAATGTCTGTGGTTTTTGTTTTTAACTGGCTGACTTATAAATGAAATTTTTGAATCTCTACAATATATAAGTGAAAGTTAAACTGGTATTTTAAAACTAAAGTACCTAGTTTCACATTTCTCATGTCCATTTTTATTATTAAAGTATCTGACTTATGTGGGTTATAAAAAATGTAGAATGTAATTGAGTTTTAGCCTGATAAAATAATTTTTCAATTGGAAAAAATTTTAGAAATTATTTCTCATTGTGAACTATTCTTCTCTTTTTTTTTTCTTAATTTTATTATTCATATGTGCATACAAAGCTTGGGTCATTTCTCCCCCCTGCCCCCACTCCCTCCCTTACCACCCACTCCGCCCCCTCCCTATTCTTCTCTTTTGTTGTTTGCTCATCTTTCATTTTGTGCCTTCGTTTTAAGAAATAATCTTGCAGATGGCAATTTTCCTTGTAATCAGTTATTGTCCTATCTGAGTCATTACCAGACATGGCATTTCAGTAGATAGTGATTCTGCAATCACTTCCAGGCAGATGTATTGTGTGATGTCAAGAATATTGGCTGATAACCTTTCTGGTTTTTCAAACAGTAGGGAGGAATGGAGAAAATTTTGTGTACCTACTGCTCACCTTGAAAGAAGAAAATGATAAAGGAAGCACAGAATTTGTGCTGGATAATTTTAGGAAAATGCAGTGTTTGTGTGGCTATGGGTCAAGTAGTAATCACTTTAAGAGAGAATCTTTCTAATGACTTTGATTCATAGTATGCTATACATATTTTCTCATGCACATCATACAATGTGTAGGATTTTTTTGCATGCATATTATTAAACAACCTTGGCTCTGTTGTACAGAGATTTGTATTACCATGGCTACTCATGTTTCTGTGGTCTCATGGTCACAACTTAGCAAACTAAACACCTGGTGCTTTGATTTCTCCACCTGTAAATTGGGAATGAATCTTGTATCCCTAACTGCCAGAGAAAATGCAGAGTTCTAAAAATAAGGCACCTTTTGATGTGCCAGTAAGTGATCAATGTAAACAGTCATTTTTAAAGTCAGGAACCAGTGTAAAGATCAGTTAGAGATGAATCAACTTGGTTTGTAACACATTTGTACATGGAACCAATGCTAGGAATCTCTCTGTATAGCTATCCTTATCTCAAAAAAAAGGTCAATTAAATAGTTGTTTGATAGCCTATGTCACAACGGTAGGTTGATTTAATTTTTTACTTAACAGTAACTAACCTTATCTGTAGAAGTAACCCAAAATTTCCTAGTTCTTTTCTATCAATATGGTTTTCAAATTAACATATTTTAAAATTTAATGAATCATGCCACAATTATGGCACACTATTAACTATTTCAGTATTATTTCATAATTTGTCTTGTAGGTGTCATGAATAATTTTTAGAAGAAAGGCATTACTATGCTTAAATATAGTTATTATATACCTTTAAGTATTTTGTCACAGATTTATAGGTGAGAAACTATAAAGAAAAGCTCATTAATTTATTCAACTGAGGTTTATTGAATACTTATGTGCTGGGCCCTGCCCAACAATAATAATATTGGGTATAACTGAGAACAAAGTCGATAAACTGGAATATGCATTGATGTGTTTAGATTGTAAACATTTTGAGAAATTAAACTAAATTTAGTTTTGTTTCATAGTTTTATCATTCAACAAGTTTTCATTTGCCCTTTTGAAATTTTCATGAGGCCTTAATTATAGCCATTGGTAAATTACCCTTTTGTGTTTCATATGAAAAAGTTCAGCTCAGCAAAGCTTTTCATGCTTTATGTGCAAACAATACTCCTGACCTTCCTTATATTAACAAATTCCTAACCTTTAGTTTCAGCCATGCTATCATGAGCTTGGTAATCTTTCCAAACTGGCTTACATTCCTAAACTGGCTTAATTTTTATGAGAAGGACAGTTCTACTAATTGCTAAATTAACCTCTGATTATGCTTCAAAGTAGTAGGCTAATTGGTTGTTTACTTATGATGTGTTAATTACCAACCATTAGTGATAATAAATTAAAATAGGCCATTAATAATTATGCTTATACCTGATCAACTATTCTTATATCTGTCCTATGTCCATGAAGTCAGCCTAGTCCAAGTTCATTTAGTAACATGAACCACCCAGGCCTTAAGAATCAAAAGATTAACTGAAGACCAATTTATGTATTAGTTCACTGCTCTTTCCTGCTATAAAGGTTGTCTGGCATTTGGTTCATTGATATATAGAAACATATATGTCTACTCCCAGGCAAATCCAGAGACACAAACACAAAGAGTAAACCTGGTATAAAACTAATTTGGAGGACAATTGTTCACGTCATAAAGAATTTCTATTTTAAAATAAATTGCCTTGAAGTCATAAGTTTTCTTAATTTATTTAAAATATGATTTGATATGTAAAAATATGAATTCATTTGATTTTTCAACACATTAGACCGATATAAAGCAAAATGCATTGCTGGTTTATGTTGTATGTTGTATGTGTACATGTTTATGTTTGATTTATGAGAGCTGTATAGAATGACAGTTCTTAAAAATTAATGTGTTCACTTTATAATAAGGAAATAGTGGTTGCTTCCATGATGTTCTTACATATAAGAACAAAAATATTTCAACCAAGTAGAAGACAATTTGGCTTTAATAGTATGATAAAGTTTGTTTGGTTTTGTTTTAATTCACAGGAGATACAGCAAATGAACCAAAAAGTAAAACTACAGAAGTAGAAGGCAGCCAACCTTTGGAGGTGAGTAAAATACAGTGAGTCCTTTTAGGGTGAAACTAGTCATTCTGATTGCATATTCCTCTGAGGATAAATAGTATCTTCAGCTCTTTACATACACACAGGTGCCTAGACACCAAGAGACAGGTAGGTGATCTACTGAAAGTCAGGGGATACCAGAATAAGGAGTGACTGCCTGAGTGCTAGCTTTTCTTAGCTCTGGAAATGGAAACTTTCTGTTTAAAAAGGGGGGTATAGAGCCCTTATGTTAAAACATCTGAATATTTTTAATTGATATTTTCTAACACATTTAAATAGAATATAAAAATAAATAAATAAATAAATAAATAAATAGAATATATGTGAACCTATAGAGAAAACATTTGAAAAAAATATTCAGAGCTATATTTCCTTACTACTTCCAGCGTTAAAGTATGCTCCTTGAAATTGTTCTGTGGAAAGACTATTTGTTCTTTTCCCATAAGAAAACTATTTGCTCCTTTGAAACTACTTGAAAATGTAGTTAAGATTCTTTTGGATAGTATGTAGAAATATATTAACATTAATTACTGAAAGAATCATCTTTATGACTTAGGGGAATGTGAAGTATTAGGGTGGAAGAGCTATCTCATGAGTTTTGAAACTTTCTACATGGTGATGCATTCACTTGCAGTACTTACATGGGAGGGTATTGCCAGGTACAACTAGAATGAGGTCAGGGACCTAGCCTGTTTGGGTCATCATAGAATCGCCAATGCCCAGCACAAAGTAGGCAATCAAAAGTATTTGTTAAATGAATAAATGAATATACTATGAGTTATAAGTAGAAAGTAACATTTATTTTAAGAAGATAGTTTTTTTATATTAATTTTTTTTACTGAGCAAATGTTTTGTTTGTAATCAAGGAAAAAACTTAATGATGTAATTAAGAAGTACATTAGTGAAGAGAAGAAAAAATAATTTTTCCCATAAAGCTACATTTTTTTATTCATTCATACACAGATTAATCCCTGACTATACTTAAGGTGCCATGCAAGGACCTGAGTATGTAGTGACGAAATAAATTCAAGGACAAAGAAATATGTCCAGCTTATACACTGAAGCATCTATTTCTCTTTAACTTATTCAAACATTTAGTGAGTGCTGACCGTGAGTTGCATGTTCGGTAGGAATAAAGGTTGATGTATTTGAGACTGAGGAAATAACCATAGGATGTTTCAGAAATTACCCATGATTACCTGAGTTCATATGCTTAGAGTCTTACTTTGTTCAGGCTTCAATAACAAAATACCATATACTGGATAGCTTATAAATAAATATTAGAAATTTATTTTTCAAATTCTGGAGATTGGGAAGCCTAAGGTCAAAGATGCTGACAGATTTGCTGTCTGGCGGGGGCCTGTTTTTGTGTCCTCCCAAGGAAATCTGTTATCTGCAGCCCCCCAAAGACCACATCTCTTAATACTATCACCTTGAGAATTTGACTTCCACATATAAATTTGGTATGGGGAAATAAAAACATTCCAATCATAGCATGTACGTGATTCATTGGATGTGTCTATAGATTTGATGTTAACTATTTTTCAAATTTGTCTCATTGATAGAAAGAATTTCAAGATTAATTTTAAGAGAAGGAGGTTTTTAAGATTTCAGTCCTAAGAGGTTTGAAGCTAGCTCATTATTGTGCTGCTTTCTGGACTTCCATTTATACAATAAATTTTTAATTGTTAAGGTTGAGTATGTATACTCATGTTGTATTAGATATTTCAGAAGTACCTAGTGTCCAAGTTTTCATCATCTCTGTTTAATCACCATCCCCTCTATATTGGTTTAGAATTGAAACCCTGGAGGCACCCTTGACTCCTCTTTATCCTTCACATTCTGCATCTAGGCCATCAGCAAGTCTTGTCATCTTAACCTCTACATCTAGATTCTGCCTGTTTCTCTACATTGTCACTATTAAAACAGTCTAAGCCACCACTTTTACCAGGAGGCTGTTCCCATTCTTCTCTCTTAAGCCCATCTCATACCAGACGTAAATAGAAATCAGATCACTTCATTCCTTGCTTAAAATCTGCTGAGTACTCACTGTACGAAAAAAAAAAACAAAAAACACTAAGCTTCTTCCAATGGGCTTCTTCCATGGAGCTCTGTAAGCTCCATGCTCTCTCTAGTTTCATGTCTCTCCACACTCCCAATTCATATCGCTCCCCACACCATTGCCTTGCTGTCTCTTGATGATGTTAAGTTCTTTCTAGTGTGTGCTTCCCCCCACCACACACTTTTTTAACGAGAGCTTCACTTTGGTTCTTTTGTCACCATGCCAGTGTCACTTTTTATGATTACCCCTGCTAAAAGTGTTCTCCCCAGTCACCACCACATAACTTTGTTTTATGTGCTCCATCATATTTATTATCATCTTATTCACTTGTTTACTATCTGTCTCTCCTGATTAGAATGAAAACAGACTTTGTATGCCTAGATTAGTGTCTGGTACATAGAAGGTGCTCAATAAATACATGTTAACCGGTGACTTATGTTAATTTAACATAATCATCCATCTGCCAGGTTAAGAGCCTGTCATTGCGACTCATTCTTCTCAGACCCCTCTATAAATCTATCAAGTCCTCTTGATTTCACCTACTAAATGTCTTCCAAATCTGATTTCTCCTACCCCACCTAGGTCCTCATCTTTTCACTACACAATTATTAGACCAACAGCATCTTTCTCAAATCTTTTTCTCAAACAGAACATCAGACTTTATTACTTTTGAAGCCCCAAAATGCATGAAACCTGCAGAATAAAATTTAGACCCAAACACCGTTTAAATATCACCTCCTTTTTTCTGTTCCTCTGTCCAGGAACAATCCCAATGTACTCTTACTACTTCTACTGTGCTTGATTGCTTCACTTTAATGCCAGTTCCTGGAAGGTGGGAACTATATCTTAATTAGCTTTGGCCTCAGAACTATCATAATGTTAAATGCATGTGGTGTGGCATAAATACACTGTCAATAATTTCTGGATAAATAACTGAGTTAATAAGTTGTCAATAATTTCTGGATAAATAACTGAGTTAACAAGTGATCTTCTAATGAGTAAATCTCTTCATTAAATTCTATTTTCCATTTTATGCTAAAAACACAGTTGAATCTCTTTTTACCGCCAATAAAGCTTTTTGTTCACGTCTTAGAAGTTACCCATTTTTTAAAAAACCTTATTTTTGGCACTCATTACATTAGCAAGGAAGAGTTTAATTATTTCAAATATATATGCACCTGAGCTGGAGGAATGGCTCAAGTGGTAGAGTGCCTACCTAGCAACTGCTAAGCCCTGAGTTCAAACCCCACTACTAACACCACCACCAAAAAGATTTAGAAAAAGAAATTCAAAAATATACATCTGAGTGAGAAATTATAATTATTGTACTAGCAGATTTTCATTATTTTAATTTTAAAGGCTATTAGAAATACACAAATATTATTTATATATATTGAGAGCATAGGTGGTAAATTAGTAGAGGTTCCATAAAACTTAAACGTTACATTCATAGCTGCCAAACTAAAACTCACTGTTTCCAGGACCCTGTGGAGAAGTTGTCTTTAATATACCAAAATATGTTTTTTGATGAATTCAGGTAAACACATAGACTGCCTACAGGAATCATATTAGATGTGAGGAGTGAAGAGAATATAAAACTAAGACTTAGTGACTCTGACTTGTCAATGCAGTAATTCTCAACCTATTCATGAAAAATTAGAAAATTCAAAATCACTAGAATATAATATAGAACAAGTTAAGTTCTTTAAACTACAAAGATACATGTGAGATTTCAATGGAGGCAGAAATAGCATTAGGAGGAATTGAAAAAGGCTTCATGAGCTTTGAGCCATTAGTGATTTTTGTAGTTACTTAAATAATTAATTTTACACAATTAAAATAAGTTCTTAGGAAATGAAATTCTTTATTAAGAAGAACATTTTAGAAATACAGAAAGAAATCATACTATGAAATTGCTTTATACACACAAATCTCAATGACAGATAAAGGGTTAAAAAATAAAATGAAAATAGTAGTTTTAATGGCAGTCAAAATATTTTATTAAGTAGTCTGTGGTATTTTCCCTTATATGTTATAACCCTAATATATTTAAAAGCTGTGCTTCCTATCCAAGTATATCTCTCAAAATAGTGGAAATTCTAGCATGTAGGTGGAATAAAATTTGGAAATGATCTGGTTTGGGTATCAGATAAGTTAATTTTTACAGAGTTAGATTATGAGATATTTTGAAACATTTACACAAAAGACTGTCCATGTAAAGCAGCATATACATTTGCATTAAGTACTTAGTAGAACTTATATTTTGTGAAATTGACAGTAATATAGCATTCAACCCAGAATATCATAATTTCTCAGTATTTCTTGAAAGGTTTGGTGGTTTTTTTTACTCCCTCTCCTAAAGTAGTTTAGAATTTCCCTCAGTGATGACTTAAATTCATTAAGACTGTTTTTACCTTATAGTTTCTCATGTATGATTCTAAGATATCATTACTTAAAATAGGGTAACTTAAGAAACCATTACTGAACTCTGTAGTCATTAAAATATCATTTTTCCCAAGTTGTGCTTTAATCCATGCTTTAGAAACCATTGGTAACTTGTAACAGAGTTCACCATGTCTTTGGTGTATACAGTATGAGTTCAAACCCATGTTTGAGTTTAGTAAAATTAAAGTCTTTGGCCTTTAGTACTTGGGACAGAATTATAATTTGAACTAATTAACGAATTAGAGGATTATCTGCAACCTTGTGTTCCTTCTTTTTCTCTCGTTGCCTTTCTGAATAGATTTTGATAGTGAATTATAATGACATTACATCTACTTACTGCCTTCTGCTAGTCCAGGAGCTCAGGGGAATAAACCCACAAACTTGGAGGGGGCCTAGTTTTGAGTTTTTGCCATTATGGATCATCTCTTAAGTGACTGAACAATTTAAGTGAGCAAATAAAAGTCTACTTTTCAGTCCA